TTTTTTTTTTTTTTTTTTTTTTTTTTTTTTTTTGTCCTTGTTTGAGACCGGCCGCACCACGCTCAGCCAGTGAACGTGCCAGCCATCCCTATATAGGATCCGAACCCGCGGTGGGAGCGCTGCTGCGCTCCCAGCACTGCACTCTCCCGAGTGCGCCACAGGCTTGGCCCTCTCAACATGTTTTAAGAGCACAATTATGTGATAGTAATAATGCAAGTTAGGTTCCTGGTTAAAAAAAAAAAAAAAAATGAAGTCCAGTGTGATCTATCTGTCACACGGTTATTTGATTTTATGACATTCAAATACAGGCAATAACTTCTACTTCTGGCCATGATAGAATAACTCGGGGATCAACAAGCTCTGTGAAAGGCCACATAGTAAATATTTTAGGCTTTGCAGGACATGCAGGTTTTGACTCAGCTGTTCTGCTCTGCTGTTGTACTGGGAAAGCAGCCATAGACAGTACATGAACAGATAGTCATATCGTGTTCCAGTAAGGCTCTATTCATAAGAATAGGTAGTGGTCTAAGTTTGAACTGAGGACCATAGTTTGCCGATCCCTGAAATAACTGATATCAGATTAGCCCTCCTGCGCATGAGAAGACTGGACAAAATAGATGAAACAGCTCTTTCAAGACACGGGACAACAGGCAGTGCAGATTTTGATTCTTAAGAGAAGGAAAGCAGATTATATGAACTATGAGTCATTCCAGCTTTGTGCCATTTACCTGACCCTGCTGCAGGAGGCAGTAAATCAAGAATACAAGTCTCATAGATCCCAGTTCAGGGAAGCAGACGTGAAATTTGTATTATGCTGATATTGTTCTCTAATACATCAGTCTTGTTGGAACAAATTCTCATTTTCAAAACAATTGTTATGGCAGAACTGACTAAATGAATGGAATTTATTGCAGGAATTACATGGTTTAACATTCAAAATTCAGTGTCGATCACTGTAGTTATAAAGGAGAAAAATCATGTTGTCTGGAAAATGCATTCATGAGAATTCAAAAGCCATTAAAGATAAAATTAGAAATAAAAGAAAAATTTCTCAACCTGGTTAAGGGTATGGACTAAAAAGTTAGCATTACTCTTACTAGCGAAAAACTGAAAGAAATAAAACATTTTTAATTGCAAATGATATGATTTACATATGTAAAAAATCCTAAGGAATCCACAGAACTACTAGAACTGATAAATAAGTTTTACTGAGGTTGCAGGTACCAGGTCAGTATATAGAAGTCAACTTTATGTCTGCATATTTACTGACAAGCAATTTTAAAATGAACTTTAAGGAAATACAAAAAACCAATAATAGTAATAATAAGTTTTTAAAGACTACCATTTACAGTAACAAAAATTACACACTGTTTAGGGGTAAATTTAACAAAATGTGTGAGAAACCTATACACTGAGAACTACAAAACATTGCTGAGAGAAATTAAAGAAAATCTAAATAAGTTGTGAGATCTACCCCATTATGGATTGAAACTATTAAGATATCTTTTCTCACCCAAATTGACCCTTAGAGTCAGTTTGGTCCCAATCAAAATCCCACCAGGCTTTTTTTTTTTTTTTTTTTTCCCTTAGAAATTAACAAGATGATTCTAAAGTTTAAATGCAGAGGGCCTAGAGTAGGCAAAACAGTCTAAAGAAAGAACAAAATTGGAGGGTTTACACTGTCTGATTTCAAGACTTACCAACAATGGTCAAGACAATATGGTAAGGGTGGACACAGAGTAACAGCCCAGGGGTAGCCCATTAATTTTTTGGCCAAGATGCCAAGTTAATTCAATGGGGGAAAGGTTAGTCTTTTTACAAATAGTGCTGTAACAGTTGGATGTTTGAATTGGAAAAAATGAACTTCAACTCATACTTCACACTGTACATCAAAATTAACTGGAAATGGATTGTAGACTTAAATGTAAAGCTATAAAAAATTCTAGCAGAAAATGGCAAAAAGAGTTTTATTACCTTGGGGTAAGCAGATTTCTTAGGATGTGAAGAACAATAACCACAAAAGAAAATATAATAAATGGCACTTCATTAAAAATTTAAATAATAGATAAATTTAGTTTCTTCAGAAGACACAGATAAGAAAATAAAGTCAGGCTGTAAACTGAGAAAGTATTTGCAGTACCAAATCTGAGAAAGATTTGTATCAGAATGCATAAAAACCTTTTATAGCTCGATAAGATAAATGACCTAATTATAAAAGGAAGGCAAAGGATTTGAACGGACGTTTCAGGAAGGAAGATGATACAAACAGCCAATAAATCCATATAAAGATGCTCATGTCTTCAGTTATCAGGGAGGTACACATTGAAACCACAGTGAGATACCACTGAACACCCACTAGAAAGGCTGAAATTTTTAAAGGCTGGCAGTCCAAATGTTGGCAAGACTGGAACAACTGGAACTCTCCTAATTGTTGGCAAGAATGTAAAATGTTACAACCACTTCAGAAAGCAGTTTAGTACCTTCTTAACGTTTACACCCCAGCAATCCCACTTGTAGGTATTTACCAAAGAGAAATGAAAACATGTCCTCAGAGATTTGTATATGAGTGTGTATAGCCACTTTTATTAAAATAGCACCAAATTGGAAACAGCACAAGTGTCTAGCAGCAAGAAAGTGGGTAAGAAATTGTAGGGTATCCATACATGGAATATTGCTCAACAGTACAAAGAAACAGACAGTTGCTGATAGATGCAGCAGCACGGATTAATGTCAGTGCTGTGCTGAGCAGAAGCAGAGAGAGGCAGAGGGGCTGTGCTATATGATTGCATTCATAGGAAGTTCCAGAATAGGCAAAGCCAGTCTTACAGAAAGCAGGTTGATGTTTGCTTGCAGTGGGGGCTTGAGAGGGTGGAGTTGACTATTAGGGTTATGGAAATACTCTGTATCTTGAGTGGAGTTTGGTTATCTGAGTACAGTATAAATTTTTTTCAAAACTAATCCGACTGTACAGTTTTAATGGGTGTATTTTAGTATGTGGAAAATATACCTCAATGAAATTGACTTAAAATAAAGCATGGGGTTGAAGGTGAGGTGGGTAGTGAAAAATAGAACTAGAAAGTTAACCACAGTAATTCTCAATTTTTAAATCGTGCTATTAGCAGTTCAAGACAAACAGTATATCAGGAAAATCCCAACACACTGAACTGGTAAATGAGAGAGACTATTGAAGAGGAAAGGAAGGCACAGTTTTAAATTGTGACAGACTTCCGAGGAAACAGGAGAGTTCACAAAATGACAGATCAAGTGCAAATGAAAGATTACCAATGTTTAGGCAAAAGTCTGTAAGGGGTTCTAAAATCATGAGCAAGTCGTTTAAAGACTAGGGAAACGAGGTGGCAGAATGTCTGTGAGAGAATTTAGTGCCTGTGTTGCTGAAGATTCTAGTCAAATGGTGGTAATTTGTATCAAATTATCATCCTAGCTACATTTATGTGGGATGGTGGCTTACTTTATAAGAAAAGAAAAAATACCAAGTTTACTGCCAAATGCATTACTTGAAACAAAATTAGGAGGTTGTTAGTGTAATAAAATTCACAAGAGGATTCCAGAGTGAGCACTTTCAAAGTAAGCTAAGAAAATGAAAACGGGCCATAAAGCAAAAGTAACTGTAGGTCCATTCCTTGTTAGTGTGCACGTGTCATGGGCATTGCTTCCTTCCTGAGAGCATTCAAGCCTGGGCTGGTGGTGGTTCTCCTGTCAAATTGCCCTTCTTTCGGTGCTCTCACCTCCATCCTGCCATTGCACCCAGCTCGTGACAGTGGGTGGAAAAGCTGACCACTTAGAATGCCTATGTTCAGGGGCCTCCTGAACAAGGCCCTCGTTGCATATTGTTTGAGAAAGTTTTGTTCTTCTGTTGATTAGAAATCGAAAAATTAATGTGAAGAGAGATTCTCTCAGATCTCAAGGCTTTTTGTTTTCTAACATTCCTGACTTAGCCTAAGTTCTGCTGTATTATTTTTTTAGCTTAGGTGTTAAAACTTTAATCTTTATTTAGATTGAAATCTCAGTGTTCTGTGACAATTTTCCTGATGGGTTTTTAGAGTGGTATTGTAAGGCAAAGTTTTTCTTACACTACATGTATTTTTAATATCATGATGCCACCTTATGACTAATACTGTTGTATTTCTTTCTAATTAGTGAAAACAAGAGCCATTTTGTAAACCCTGAATACCTCACATCCCAATTAGTCTCTGCTATCGCTACTTTTAAAAGATAACTACATTAATTTGGGCACTTTTTTTTAAAAAAATTTATTACTTTTGTAGACAAAAGTAAGACCACTGACCCCACTGTGTTTTGTGTTAAAATGTTTGGATGGATGGCGATGGATTTATGCTGACCTGGATCTCTTCTTGCATGTCTTATTTCCCCCCACTTGATGGCACCTGTTTGAGAAAGTTCAAACAGGATGGAGGTAGGAGTGAGTGGAGCAAGCAAAGCGAGGGCTCTCAAGATTCGCCCACGAGCAGCAGCGTGTTCTGAGCTCATAAGCACATTGTTTGTAGATGTTACCCAGAACCTATTCCAAGTGAAATAATCACATGCACCTTTAAAATTAAGATTTGTAATGCAGAAGTAGCCACTGGGACATTACAACTGCTTTCTTTAAAAGAATCTGTGTTAGATGTCTTTGCTCAGATGTCTTCTGTTGCCCTGTCCCTTTTCAGCTGTGTTACCCACAGCTGTCACCACTCTCTAGGTGGTGATAGAGTGATTTTTTTTTTTTTTTAAATCATCTCTCCCAGTGAATTGCAAAGCTCCATGGGAGCAGGGACTTTTATTCATCCTGTTCTGCATCATGTCTTGGTAAGGGGGCATAGCTAGACAGTTTATTAAAATGATAACTTGATGGGATAGTAGGCATTTAGTCACCTTTTAGCACTCATATTTGGGCATGTTTAACACACAATTCTAGTTTTGTCTTTTTCATCTATGAAAATTGGAATGTAATTAAAGCATGGTCCTAGTTTTGTATATCTGCACATTTTAAGTTCTCTTGATTTTCCCCAAAATAATGATTTTTAAAACAAATAAGTACTCCTTCCTCATGCTCTGCATGACTTAGCAGAGGGCAGTTCGAACTGAGGTGACCAGGGGATGGGCCAACACCAAGTACAATGTCCTACCAAGGTCAGAAGTACTTCTCCATGCAAAATAAAGCCTTAGATGGTAACCTGCAATGAAGTAATGGAATTTGTGTTTCCTTCAAATATAAAGTTTAATTTTTGGTATTTTGCATCTCCTTTGAAGTTAAATTTCTTATATTCAGAATACGTAGTTACAGTAGTTGAAGGATTCTTAATTCATTAAATGCTTGGATGAGCTTGTGTTGCCTGAAATGGTCATGTAACACTCAAGAAAGCGAGCAGGGAAGTTGCTTTGACATATGGCAGTAGCCACTGGTGGAAAACAGGGAAGTTTGTAAAACAGGAAGAGGGCAGGGGTGGCACAGCATTAGAAGGGGGAGATGGCAGAGTAAGTGTGTGCAGATGAATCCAGCAGACAGCAGGCTCTGTCCCCTTTACCCGTTCCACAGCTTGGGGAACACAAGTGTTGTTGTCATTGTTGAACAGACGTGTTCGGAATTTTCTACAAATGTGGTAAGTTTAATGATTAGCAGAACTCATAATTGAAAACCTATTTTGTATTCTATCTGTCAAAAAATAAAAACCAACCTCTAAAGTACATTCCACACATTTGTGAAGAGATAAAATCATGTTTCTGATCATACGGTGTACATGTTCTGGAGTCTCACAGTCCTGGATTCAAATGGGTGGCCTTGTTCTGGATAGCTCTGTTAACTTGGACAAGTAACTGACCTTCTTTGAGCATCTATTTCCCCCTCCATGAAATGGGGATAGTAATACGTAATTCATATTCATCATTTGGAGACTGATGTTTGTGAGGTACTGAACCCAGTACCAGGACTCGCATAAACACTCTATATATTTAACTGTATCATATATATAAGATCATGACAAGGCTTTCATTTTCATTTAAAGGTGAATCAGGTCTAGGAAAATCAACTCTCATAAACAGCCTATTCCTGACTGATCTCTACCCAGAGAGAGTCATACCTGGAGCTGCAGGTAAAAAAGTTCCTAAAAAAGTTATTGTAAGTGTAATTCCATATGAAAGTTACCAAGTGGTGCATAATTTATATTTTATGTCATATTAGCTTTATGTTTTGTTTGTTCGTTTTCAGCTTTGGACACAAGGAATATATTACTTGAGTAGGGAAGGTGTGCTGCACCTGAGTCCTTGGATCTCCATAGACTTTGACATGTATTCATGGATCTATCCTCTCTGAGTTTTTGTGCATGTGTTGTGTCTATAAAATGTAATAAATAGTTTCTGCCTATCTTATACATTGTATGAGAGGACCAAGTGAGAATGTTTTATGTCATTAAATGTGCTACGTAAATAGAAGATTGCTATGGGAGTAGATGTTGTTTAATTAATCTACTGCCCGAATGTTCCAGTGCAGGATACCGGCACCCATAGATGCTTGTTGAATGAAGTGCACAACGTTAGACCCTAGGACTTGGGCTGCCACAACAGGGACATATAGCCCTTTCACAAATGTTTTCAAATTCAATTTTTAAATGATCTCGTCAAATGTTTTCATCATCCCAGAAACAAATTCTAGTTTTTAATATTGGCATTTTTAACCTTCCTAAGCAGCACATTAATTTTAGCTTTGACATTTCCCTTCCTAACTCTGGGATTGCTTTTACACTGTCCTTCTTTACCTTCTGAGAACCTACCTCCAAATAGAGGTAATAAACTTCCAAGTCATTTGTCGTAAGAATGTTCGTAACAGGTAATTTTTCCTCTTTGCATACTGGATTAATTTTAAGGTACATTCTCTATTAAGTTTGTTTCTTTTCTAGAGAAAATCGAAAGAACTGTCCAGATTGAGGCTTCAACTGTTGAGATTGAAGAGCGAGGAGTCAAGCTGCGCCTGACAGTAGTGGACACACCTGGCTATGGTGACGCCATCAACTGCAGGGATTGGTGCGCACCCACAGGATGCGGGGCCCTGTGTGCCCGGGGCTGTGCATTCGTTTTTGTTTCTTCTAACGTACTTAAGTTTATAGAGAGTGTTAATGGGTAATTGTTAGGTTTGGGATAGCTGTATATAATAAAACGATGATGCAGCTTAAAGCACATTAACATGGACTTTTTAAATAAGGAATTTTACAGAACACAAAGTATTTTTTCTCTAAGAGCTCTCTAGTGAGATCTGAGATCTCAAAGCCAACCATGCATAAGCTGCTAGTATAAATGGAAGACCTTGATGGGGACCGTGGCCATGGACAAGATATTGTAGTGTATCCTTTCCATATGGGAGGAAATAAAACCTGTTAGAGTAAGGGCCGGCCCATGGCTGACTCGGGAGAGTGTGGTGCTGATAACACCAAGGCCGTGGGTTCGGATCTCCATATAGGGACGGCCTGTTAGCTCACTCGGGAGAGCGTGGTGCTGACAGCACCAAGTCAGGGGTTAAGATCCCCTTACCGGTCATCTTTTGGAAAAAAAAAAAAAAAACCTTTTAGAGTAGCTCGAAATGTAGTGCATGTAAGTGACTGCTCATTGGCATCATTTTCACAAATGAAGGAACCAAAAAGTAGAAGAAAGAGTAGTCTGTCACCTATACTGTGTAGAGAATACCATTTTTGTTCTACAGGCTCCCTCCTGGTTCTGATCCCATCAGCATAAAGCGTCAATTTTCCAGCACTAGATGAGAAAAGGAAAGGACCTCCTTTTGTCTTTCTCCTATGTCAGGAATTCTTGCCTCCTCCTGTCATGTGAATGTGCTGTGCTGTTTCACATCTTAGATAACCTGTTCTCTACTCCAAGTCCTGCTGCTGCCAACCTGTTCCTCTGCCCCTCTTCACAGTCACACTCCTTCAAAGAATTGGCAGCCCTGTGTCTTCACTGGTCATCTCTCAGGTGCCTCGTAACCTATTTCATTCAGGTTCTTGACTCCCAGCACTTAAGGAAAGTTACACTTGGCACAGTTTCAAAAGCTTCCATATTGCCAAATCTAGAAGTCAGCCTTCTGTTCTCATCTTAAAAGTGAATTATTAAATTATGTATATTTGGGGGTAGTGGGGAGAACAACTTGTCTTCCCTTTGAAGTTAGGGACCGTCTTCTTTTTACTTTAAAATTGTTGTTAATGTTCATGTTTCAGTTTTAAGACGATCATCTCCTACATTGACGAGCAGTTTGAACGGTACCTGCATGACGAGAGTGGCTTGAACAGGCGGCACATCATCGACAACAGAGTGCACTGTTGCTTTTACTTCATTTCACCTTTTGGACACGGGTGAGTAAATATTTCCCATGGAGACCTGATTTACTACATGTGTTTCCAAATTTTCCCGAAATTGCATATTTTAATATGAGAATTGAGATAACTTTGAGAGAGAAAAATTTTGTGTGATCTTCCTATTCTTTCCCTAAATATGTGACACTTCTAAAATTACTTTTAGACTTAAGCCCTTAGACGTTGCGTTTATGAAGGCGATACACAATAAGGTGAACATTGTGCCTGTCATTGCAAAAGCCGACACGCTCACCCTGAAGGAACGGGAGCGGCTGAAGAAAAGGGTGAGTGAGGCTGGCCGCCTGTTCTTCCCAGGGTGGCTGCCTGGGAAGGTGGAGGGTGGGCGCGCCAGCCAGCACATCCGTCTGCTCAGATGTGGGGAGGCAGGGATGCGAACTTGGTCCTGCATTTTTTTTTGTTTTGTTTTGTTTTTTTTCCTTTTTGTCTTTTTCCGTGTCCGGCAACGGATCGCAACCCTCAGTGTCGCGCCCATACCGGACCGGGACCGGCAACAGGATCGCAACCCTCGGTGTTGCTCCCGCACCTCGCTCAGCCAGTGAGCGGGAACCGGTCTGTATGTGGGATCCGAACCCTCAGCAGGAGCGCCACTGCGCTCCCAAGCGGCGCACTGTAGCAGTGCGCCACCGGGCCGGCCCCTGGTCCTGCGTTTTGGTGGTGCTTTTTCAAGGAATACCCAACAACTAGCACAAAACTTATAGTTATTTTTTAATATTTTGCCTTCATAATGGTATGAAATTTCTATTCTTTACCTTTTCCTTAGATGAAAATACCCTCAATGGGTAGAAGTTGACTAAGGCAAGGAGATTCCATAATGCATTAGGTAAATGACAGGAATATGAAAGTGGGATCTCTCCATCAAATTATGTTATTTTACCTAAATATTTTACGGCAAACAGTCCATTTAAGGTTGTATCTTAGTAGAGTAGTCCCCTACATTTTGGTCATGAAGGTATCACACTGCAGTGGTCAGCCAGCTCGTGCATTTCTCACTTCCCAGCAGTTCCACTCCCTGATACCACTGTGGTGCCCCTGTTTCAGTGCCCTCTTCTAGGTATTTCTGTAGAGCCTCTTTGTTAACTCTCTGCTATGTATATTTTTTAAAATTGTTTACCCTTTACTGATTATGTGCTTGTTAAGAAAGTCCAAACAGTTTACATACGCTAAACTCGGAATGTAAGAGTTTCTTTAATTAGTCACAGAGACAACAACTGTTAACAGTTAAGTATATGTCCTTCCAGAATATAGTCATATTTATCTTTTTATTTTTACTGAATGGGATCATATTGTGATACTATTCTGCCACTTGATTTTCAATTTTAAAATGTGTTTTCTTTTTTTTTTTTTTTTTAAGGTGACCAGTAAGGGGATCTTAACCCTTGCCTTGGTGTTGTCAGCACCACACTGTCCCAAGTGAGCTAACCAGCCATCCCTATATAGGGATCCGAACCCGCGGCCTTGGTGTTATCAGCACCACACTCTCCCAAGTGAGCCGCCGGCTGGCCCTTAAAAATGTATTTTCTAAGCCTCGTGCGTAGCTCTACCGTAATTCTCATTGGATGCGCAGCATTCCTATGTGAATATATTCTAATTTGTGTGACCAATTCCCTGTTGATGGACACTTGGCTTATTTTTTGTTTTGCTCTGGCCTCTTTTTATCTGACCAAATTTCTTGTTACTTTGCCTTTGCTCTTCCTCAGACGAGATATGTTTCTACCTCGGGACCTTTTTGCTAGTATTAACCAATGCCTGGAAAGTTCCTCCCCCATGTATCTGCATGGGTAACTCCCTCACATCGCCCTTGATCACTAAGTTCAACCTTGACTATGTGATTTTATCTCCCACACACACACATGCGTGCACACACACACACACTTTCTCTCTTTCTCTCTCTGCTTGTAGCACTCCCCAACGTGCCACACGAAGTATTTCTTCAGTGTGTTTTTGGCTACTCTTCACCTCTTGCCCCCTGAGATCAGGAATCTTTGCTTTGTTCACCTGAGTTCAGAATAGTACTTGGCACATAGTAGGAACTCAGTAATGTTTGTTGAAAAATTACCGTAATAAACATTGGTACACATCCATCTTCTCACAGTTGTGTAAGTCAGATAAATTCCTAAAAAGGAAATCAAGGCACTTTAAAATTTTTGAAAGATTGGCTGGCCCAGTGGCACACTCGGTAGAGTGCGGCGCTTGGGAGCGCTGCGGCGCTCCCGCCCAGGGTTCGGATCCCATATAGAGACCGGTCTGCTCACTGGTTGAGCGCAGTGCAGGCGCGACACCAAGGGTTGCGATCCCGTTGCCGGTCGCGGTATGGGTGCGACACCGAGGGTTGCGATCCCGTTACCTGTCACGAAAAAAAAAAGACAAAAAAAATTTTTTTGAAAGATGGCTAAATTTCCCCCAAAATAAGTTTGTAATAATTCACATTCCCAAAGCATGCTTTTCTCTTCACCCCATGAAACTGTCCTGGATATGTTACCAAATTTTATAAAGTGTTTCCCATCTAAGAAATTGTATCTCATTTAAACTTGATTTTCCTTGATTACTGGTACAAGTGTCTGTCCTGGTGTTTGATGCCTGTTGGTGTGTCTGTCCTATTAGGTTGTGGGGCCTTGGCTCTCTTTTCATTCCTTTTTTATTGACTTATAGATACTCTTTATATTTTTTGACATTGACTGTCATATTGCAAATGACTTCTGCTTTGACTTTTGCATTTTCACAGTTTTTTTGGTGTCTTTTGTCATAGAGTTTTTAAGTTGTATGTAGTCATACCTGTCAGTCTTTTCCTTTATTGTCGCAAGCATCTGCCAGTTCTTTAGGAAATATTTGGGCCCTTGGAAGAGCCCCTGAAAGCTTAGATATTTTTGTGCTTGACAATAAGTATCTGAGCAATTTCCACTTGAGGGAACCTCACCTTTTCTACACTATTACATTGAGTTTTATTGAGCTAGAGGAAGGGAGTGCTAGGGCTAGAGTCCTGTAATATTATTATTCAGCTTCTCCTTTACCCTTCCAAGTATCTTATTTCTTTATGTGAACTACGTGTGCTAACACGCCTTCTCTTTTCCCCACTAATGAGCTCTTTTCCTCCCAACTTTCCTCTCTTTAAATGGCCTTACAATTCTTGTGATCACCCAGGCTGAGGAATGTGTAATTATTTTTGATTTATCGATTTCTTACCCCTTTCCTCCATTTTAAATAGTCTGCTTATGAAATACTTCTCTAATATTTTCTCCTCCACAGTATAAGCCCTTTCTTTATGAGGCCAGCATAGGCCAAAAGATGGGTCAGCAGGGATGGATAACAGACCAGGAAAGGGACCAGGAGAGGAGGACAGGTCTGCAAGTTCGTGCTTACTGCCCAGTTTCTCCCAAGGACGAGAAGTTCCTTCCATTTGGGAGTAATGACCTGTGGAAAGACTGAAGGTCAGGTTGCAAAGTAAAGAATGTGCGGAGAAGGGCCTTTTCTGCAGTCCTGAATTAGTGTAGACAGTGTGTTAAGACCAAGATCTTTGATCACATGAGGCCTAAAATGTCACGTTAAGGATTTTCATCTTTATAACCAAAGAGCAAACCCGGTGCAGGGTTTGAGGTGGGGTCTCCTGCTCACTTTGCTTTTGTCCTCTCTTTCCTTGATGGCCCTCGTCCTGGGGTGGGAGCAAGCAGAACTTCAGCCTGCCTGGCTCCTGTTAGGGAGTCCAGCATGTAGTGAGCATGTGGGGGCCGTCTTTTCAATTGGTTGACTAATGAATGACTGCTTATTTCAACTCAAGCCAAGTTTTTCCTCCCTGTTAGACCCCTAGCACTCTACTTACTGCCTGATTGATAGGTTAGAGTGTGAGATTTCACTGCTGCCTCTTTGGTGCCTGTTGAATAAAATCCAGAACCCCAGGTCCCTAGCCTGAGGTTCAGGGACCTCTCCATTTGGTAACTCCAGTTTTTGTTCTCTTATCTAGCTAGATGTCTTAGTTTCCAGCCTTCTGAATTTCTTGTAATTTGCAAAACATACCATGCATCCTCCCCTCTGTGCCTTTGGCAGAGTTTTTTTTCCTGCCTGGGATTCCTCTCCAGAGACTGCATCTGCCTGTAACATCTCTGTGCTTCTCCTCTGGCACTTGTCCTTCTTAAGGTGATGATGATGTGATTTCTATTTTAGCTCTTGAGCTGGGTCTGTCATTAGTCTTCCTACTGCTTTGTACATCGAAGGTGAGGGTATATTATTCCTAATATTACTGTTCTGGACAGAAGATCCCTCAGAATTCAAGTGTAAAATCGGTTTTAGCAGTTTATAAAATCATTCGAAAATAGCTTTGTTGTTAATTTGATTCTTTATTGACATTAGGATGATTCTGATCTATTTCTAATATGATGAGTTAGACTTGGCTAAAATAATATGCAGTTTGCTAAAACTGATCCTGGTTTTGTCATCCTTTCAGATTCTGGATGAAATTGAAGAACATAACATCAAAATCTATCACTTACCTGATGCAGAATCAGATGAAGATGAAGATTTTAAAGAGCAGACTAGACTTCTCAAGGTAAGAACTGGCTCCAAGTACACAAAGTAAATAACTCTTGTTTCCTGTTGTCTATGCATTTAAAACAGGAGTGTTGGCAAAGGGTCAAATCCTGGAAGGCTTGACCTCTAAGAGCTTGTCTGGGTAGGGGCAGTTATGACAGTATTTTACTTTAAGTATTTTGGGACATAGCTATTACCTTTCAGAATTTTTATTGCAGGCTGTTTTCATACAGTTGTCCCATGTGTGAAACACATGATACTTCCAAGTAGAATGTTGTATACCCTTAGCTTTCCAGTTAAACATTGTAGTAAAAACAGCCATATGCCAAATCTGTGCTGGTATTCTTATGTTTGCAGTGAGTTATTGGGTTGCCTTTGCGGAGCCTGTCTACCCCCATGTGTCTCTTCCTAGGCCAGTATCCCGTTCTCTGTGGTTGGCTCCAATCAGTTGATTGAAGCCAAAGGCAAGAAGGTCAGAGGCCGCCTCTACCCATGGGGAGTTGTGGAGGTGGAGAACCCAGAACACAATGACTTTCTGAAGCTGAGAACAATGCTCATGTAAGCTGTCCATTTGGTGTATTCTCTCTGGCAGAGCTGGTCATGGAGAATAGTGCCTTCAGATGTGGGGGTGTACGTGTGGCTTCAAAGGCATTTGTTGCCAGTGGCTTCATTGTGCATGTGCAGTGCCTTCTCACAGTGCTGAAGTGGCCATGGTGCTGCCACCGCTTGGTGCTAAGGACTCTGGTCTGGGGGCTGTCTGTAACACTGCTGAACTAAACTCTTTCTCCTATGGCCTGTAGCTTAGTACCTCTCCTTCCTGCCCTCTAAGATCTCAGATCTCTGATGCGGATAGGAGACTAAGGTGGTCTGAGGGATCCCCTAGCTCTGATGAGGAGACGGTTAGGCTCCTGTAGGGCACTGACCAGCTGCTCCGATCCAGCCGACATGTGGCTCCCCTGCTCATCAGCCTGAGGCGCTCTCACTGAGTGGCCCCAGTTAGTCTTGAGAGTCTTGCCTCTACTTTTATTAACTGTAAGACTAGAAAAACAGAGTTTTCTCCTTTAAAAGTAAATTTCATGTATATTAACATATGTGAATTGCTGTTCCTCCTGAATAAAGAGGCTAAAAGAAAGAATATTGCTTAAAATATAATACTTCTTTAATCAGAAGAATTCAAAGAATGACCAATCTAGATAAATTTTTTGCTTAGCAGAAAATTGCTATATATGCCACATGTCTCAGTTTAGCAATTTTGAGTGAATTAAAATCAGTAGATGTTACCATCCAAGCTGTCTCAAATGTAATTAATGGTTGTGTGATAAGTTAAAGTGCACTTGGCCTCTCCAGTGCAGAGTCCTTGGCTGTCCTGATCCCTGTCATCCACTGGAGTGTGGTGGCTGAAGACAGGTGCAGTGACTCCCACTTTAGTGTCAGATGTGTTTTTCAGAATAAGGGAAAGTGAGCCGCCCCTTTGCCATCCCTGGACCCTGAGTAAACAAGAATGCATCATAGTGTTCTCATTCTTGAGTGCTTCAGTATTTGAGAAAGCTAGGTAAAACCATGCATGTTTCCTAACACGAATAGAAGTTTCAAACTTCTGTTTCTGTTGGATCCAGAACATTAGTACTTCTTTTTACGGTCTTCTCCATAGCTTAAGCGAGTTAACTTTTTCTGATTTTAAGCTTAACAAGTGAATACTTGAATTACATGTTTTCCGTAAGTTATTTTAGAAAAGCGTGTTCTATGTCAGACAGTTTTACCTAAAAACCTTCTATAATTTCTTTGTGTATGTGACTCCCTCCAGTGGCGGTGGCCTCATACAGGGACTAACCATGCCTGTGGCAGAGTTCTAGGAGAAAGGAATCAATCCAGACCTATTGAGTGTGTCTGTATGTTGTTTATTGTGATATCAAGGGAGAGCTACACCTCACAAGATGTTTCCAACGCTATATTCCCTTATCCTGAAATTCCAGCATCTTTGTGTACAGTTTCACAAATAATTAGCAGGGTGGTGTTACTGGTGTTTTTTCATGTACTTGATTAGTTGTTTTTTCCCATGAGAATGGTGTAACCATTTTGGTGTGTTTCTTTTCTTCTTCAGTACCCACATGCAGGATCTCCAGGAGGTGACTCAAGACCTTCACTATGAAAACTTCCGTTCTGAAAGGCTCAAGAGAGGTGGCAGGTCATTACACTGTTCCCCCTCCTCTGTATTGTGTCACCCCAAGTCACATTGTTCCCCCCTCCTCTATGTGTCCATCTTAGCTTTCTTGACCACTAAGCAATGTGGTTTGATTTTCTGCTAAAAAGTTATTACAAGAGAGTTGCTGCCAGTTTAATCAAATCTTGCTCTTTTTTTTTTTTTTAGCCTTTTAAAGAAAAGATAGATTTAATAATGTACACATAAAGAATGCTTTAGATGGAAAGGCCAGAGGGTTCTACATCGAGCACTTATTCAGAAGTGCCACTGTCTATAAATGAGGACAGACTCGTTTGCACTGAGAAGTTGCAGTGTCCTAGTTGAGGGCGAGAGTCTGAGCGTCCATGGTCATCAGAGCAACAGCTGCACTCCTGCACACTCGCGTGGCCACCCTCAGTCACCTTTTCTTTTTTTGCCATCCTAATATGTTTTTACTTGACATCTGTATTTTGTGACCTCATTTGTATCTGATAAAATCACCTCTCTCCTTAGACTAGAGTTTAATCAACAGGTAAGTGATAGAAATTATTCATTAAAAATTTTCTCTGCTGTATTTCATGAAAATAACCACATTTTAGTAATTTGATGGATTTGTGCATACACATGAGATACACATTAAAGTCTAATTTATTGTTAATAATTTGGCAACTGGACAAACCTAAGAAAGGTTTTGAGGCGGCAAGAAAATTTAACTCTGAGGAAGCCAAGCAGACTGGCCCCAAATCAGCGCTCTATAAAAGAGATTTGTCTTCAGGTGTGCTGAGGGGGCTTTCCCCACATCCTTGTTCAACAGGGCTCCTTCACCTGTTCAGATCCTGCTCCTCATTCAAGTATAATGATTATATCTGTGTTCATGAGGAATAACTTATCTCAAACAGAGTATTCCTCAGATAATAACTACTATTCTTTTAGTAGGTAAAGATGAGACTGTCACCACCCCAGCTTAGAGTAAGAAAAATCTCTTGAGTTTTACATTTCATGTTGTTTGTCCTTTTTCCATCATTCTGTTTTTCTCTAATTCATCATGTCTTTAAATTAGGAAAATGATAAATATGTGTAATTTAAAATAGACGTGTTTCTCAGTATTCTAAAGTAGAATTTTTCTTTGGATATCTGTCGTCAGAAATAACCAACTATATTTGTTGCAATATTGTACTTTCTTTCAACTCTTAGGAAAGTGGAGAATGAAGACATGAATAAAGACCAGATATTGCTGGAAAAGGAAGCTGAAGTAAGTAGAACAATACTGTTCTTATGACTAAAATGTTTAGTTTACATCCAAAAATACTATTTTATAATTAGCTTATTATAGGCTTCCTTAATTTTTCGGGAAGGAATATATTACATATAACTAATCTATTTTATTTTTGTATATACACCTATACATAATAATATACATGTACACATACATAATACACATAATGTTTATAGGTACATATATCTTACTTAATCTTCAATGCAATTTAGCTAAAATACTTGGAAACAGAATTTAGTAACATAAATGTTACTTTTGGTAGTGTTCAAAAATCAGTTTCCCTATACATAGACAATAACCAATTGCGAAATATAATGAAATTTTTGCAACGATTAACAAAAATTTGAGAAGAAATATGTAGGACTTATATTGGGGAGTAATTAGAAAATTTAGCTGAAAACATTTTTAACATTTTTAAAGATTGTAATAGACATCTAACTTTGTAAATAGGAAGACTCAGTGCAGGGATCACAGTTCTCTCTAAATTTAATGCAATCCAAAAAAATCCCAGCAGAGTTATGTGTGTTTGTGAGTTTTCTCTTTTAGGGAAAAGATTGGTGAATTGGTAAAATAATTCTAATGCTTGTTTTGAAGAATAAGCATGGGAAACACAGGAAGCTCTGCAAAAAGTGGACGAATGAGAAGAGACTTGCTTTACTGGTTACAAAAACATTAGAGAACAGTGGTGCTCCAAAGTGTTTGGTATAAGCCTGATTGGTTGGGTTGATCAAGTACACATGTAGAAATAGATCAGAAATATGGAAACATACTCTGTGGTAAAGGTGTCATGAAAATCTTTTACAGTTGTGGAATGCAAACAGATTACTCTGTAAATAATAAGATTATAAAGGGCCAGCCTTTTGGAAACAAAAAGAAAGCTCACTTCTTTGGCCAAATTAATTCAATATGGATCAAATATTTAAATGTTAAAAACATACCACAAAGTTACCTAAGAAAATTTGGGTAAATATTCTATAAGAAATACCTGGAGGCCTTTCTGAACATATACAAACCACAATGATAAAAGTTGGTGAGGATAAGATGGATCAGCATTCACTGTGTTCACAGCTTGAACCTTACCCTCGTTCCCCTTCACTTCACATTCCCACTGGGTATCATCAGTCTCTTTCCTGCCTTTTAGGTTAAAAGGTATCTCATATTGTCTTGTCTTTCTTTAATTATTGCTTCTGTTTACTGATAATTTCTTTCTTTTTCTTTTTTTTTTTAGCAGCTGGTTGGTACAGGGATCATGATCCCATGACTTTGGGGTTATAAGGCTGTGCTCTAACTAGCTGAGCTAACCAACCAGCCGATAATTTCTATTTCTTATTTGAAGTGGATAGTCTTATCATTTACTTGGTTTTCTATTGAGTTGTTAGTTCTTTCATCAATTTATAAGAATTCCTAGTATACTAACTCTTTTGTCATGTTTTGGGAAAGCATAGAAGTTAAAATTTTAGGAATCAGAACACGCATAAAGTTCAGACAACAAACATAAAAACCAATAATGTATATAATGTGTGCTTTGTTCATAGCTCCGCCGTATGCAGGAGATGATTGCAAGGATGCAGGCGCAGATGCAGATGCAGATGCAGGGTGGGGACGGCGACAGTGGTGCTCTTGGGCACCATGTGTAAGGTAATGCACCCATGTTAATAAATCAGATGCAGGCCCCAATGTCCGTTAGCCTGGAAAAGAGGCAGTTGTCAGGAACGGATCTCATTGTCATCTCAACTTGAATATAGTGACAGGCTCCTCCTTTTTAAGTCTTATTAATGTTTTGCATTTTTGAATCTCTGTCATTAACTGCATCATAAGCCTTGAAGGAGAAGGGATTACTCCTAAAAATCAGAAGCCACTTCTCCTTGCCCCCTACTGTCTAGTAAAGATTTTCACATTTTCTAAGTTTACAAATACGAGTAACATTTGATGAAAAATTAAAATATTTTTATTAGTCATACAACTGGAAATTTGTTACCGTTGAAAACTTCTCTTCAAAGAGAATAAAAAGACATGTTATTATAACAGTTTATGCAGATCAAAAGGAAAGATGCCACAAAGGGAGAGAATTATGCCAGGTAGATAAGGGTTATCTTGATGGAGACTGCTGACTTCCAGCTCCTTGAGACAGCTCTGCTGCGACCAAGAGTAATTAGTGAATCCCGGATGTCGGTCCTGGTGTATACTGGCCTCCCTGCTTGAAAGGAATCTGCAGACAAAAGGGACTTGGGACTAGAAAAAAGCAAATGTCCACTACTCTGTATCCTGTGCAGCGGCAGGCACTCTGAGCTGTCCAGGTGGCTACTCCCACCACCTCCCAGAGGAAAGGAGTGAAAGGTAACGTCAGATAAAGAGACCTAAAAGTCCAAGGAGAGAGCAGTCATATGGAACAGGGGTGAAGGTAAATAAGCGTCATGCAAGAGAGAGGATTGGGACTTGAAAGAATAAGCATGGGAAACACAGGAATCTGCAAAAAGTGACAGAGATCTAGGGAGGAAAAGGTGGAAATCAGGTAGAAGGTGTCTACTGCAGTTTAGGGACTTCATATAATATATATAGAGACACAAAAATACACATGTACAGTTTAATAAGCTAGTGTGGAGGGAACTTCTGTGTAGGGCCCGCCTAGATCCAAGCTGTCTGCTTTATTTTTATCATCACATTCAAACTTCAGAGCAGCCCTGAGGGTGTGTGCAGAGATCACACTTCACCAGTGAGGAAACTGATGCTGCTCCAAGAGGTTAGAATTGTTTGCCTGTGGGGCCGAGCCCGTGGCTCACTCGGGAGAGTGCGGCGGTGGGAGCACAGCAGCGCCCCCGCCGCGGGTTCGGATCCTATATAGGGATGACCGGTGCATTCACAGCGCTCAAGCACAGTGCGGCCAGTCTCAAAAAAGGACCAAAAAAAAAAAAAGAATTGTTTGCCTGTGGTCGTATAACTGGTGACAGAGCCTCCTGACTCTGCAGGCTGATTCTGTGTAACTGGGTTTGGTACTGACCAGGGAAATGGTGCATTGGAAAGAAACGAGGACTCCTCAGAGGTGGGGTTCATTTGACGCAGGAGTGATAGATTTTTGCTCATTTTCTCTGATCTTGCTGCTTTTCTTTTTAAACTTTATGGACTTACAAAAACTTTACTTTAGATACATAAAATTAGTTTTTATCTCTGTTTACATTCCTGTTTTGCAGTACTTCTAATTTCTAAGAGCCTCATAAATGGCATTTTGATTTAATTTTGTGTTCAGGTAAACCCAAACTTTTGCTCAGTTTATGCCCTTTGTTATGCAGAAAAAAAATTCTGTTAATGATCAAAGTAGCAAACATTGTATCCACTCCTGTTTTGTTTTGTTTTTCCAGAAAATACTTTCCTGGATTAAAAAAAAAGAAAACATTCCGGATGAGTAATACAGCTGCGTGTTTTCATGAGACTGTTGGAAGGGTGCCCATATACATTTTACAGTACCTGTGCCTGAAAATTTAATTTTTTAAAATAACCATCAAAAGATGGTTTTTTTGTATGAAGTACTTTTAACTTTTGTATTTCATTACTATGTCACGCTCTATATTTTGCGAGGTAAACTTTCATTTTCATTTTATTTCTTCTTAACTAACCACTAATGTGAGAATTGATTTCCAAGAATCAGTTAGCATGTATAGTTAATACTGAATTGCTTTGGTTTAGCTGGCCTAACTGACTGATCGTTGGTGAGCACTCTTGATTAATATCTAGACCATTCAGACTTTACCCAGAATGTTCCTGAGTGGTAGAGACATGTACCTAGAGATACAGGAAGATGTGCTGACTTGACACAGGGCCATTTACTTACCAAGTCACATCATGGGGAGACTCTTAAGGTGCTTGCTTTTTGTATTTGCACAACACCTAAAAGCAGTTTTGCTGCTGTAATTCAATACTGTTAATTCATGTGCACATTTATCTGTTAGCCAAATAAAATAATAGATCTAACGAGATAGATGTTTATATTTAAATAGCTTTTTTTAAACAAGCTTTTAGGGGTGAATTTTAAGAAGTCTCTGGATGCCGATGTTAGATCATTTTTAAAACCACTATGCAGAGAACTCACCACAAGCAACTTGTTGTAGTGTTCTTCACTAATACTGACTATACCATGCTACAGAGAACATTAGCTATGAGCTCCAGTTTTATATTGCAGCCAAGATTCTTAACTACACATTGAGAGTCAGTAAACTATTTTTATTCAGATAAATTAGAGAATAATTTTTTCAGGAAAATTAGCAACTGACCTGTTCAGACACCAACCTTTTTATGTTTTATACTGCACTTTAATGTATTTTCTATAACTGCAAGTGTAGAACTTCAGCAGTGGAAATTGAGGTCATTTGGTCGGCATGCCCCTGAACCCAAGCTTGTCATTGGGCAGTGTTCCTGCCCTAAGATTTCAGCCCCAGGAAGCCCAAATGCCTACCAGGTTTTCCTGATTTGGGTTTCCTTTAACTGTTCCTTTTTTGAATGGTTTTCTGATTAGAGATAAATAGCAGTGATCATTTTTTTATGTTCAGACTGTCTCATCAAGTTTCAGCAGTTGTCATTCTTTCATTTTGTGTAATGTAAATTTTTCCATGTGTTGTATAAGAATGAAAGACATTTCAGATCTAGAAGAATTTCAGGTATATAAGAATGAAAGACATTTCAGCATAGGCTGGTTGACAGGTGCCCAGGGCCGAAGCAGCACCTGGTCTGTTTTCTGCACTGTTGCCTTGGGCCTCACCTTTCTTGCTCTTTCCTCCTGTGTCTCCCTGTGGTAGACTCTCAGTGGTAGATCGTTTTGTTGATCATTTCTACTAACATTGGGAAATTTGACCCCAGAAAGTGGCAGATGAAAGGTGGTAACAGTTTTGGAGGGAACAGGTGCTGGTTCAGTATTTTGATTTTACTATAACAGAAGTTGAGATGGAAAAAATACTTAATCATACGATGAGACAGGGTTTTTTGTTTTGGCCAGAAAAAAAAATAAAACGTGTTGGTCAGCAAGTATTACTTATGAAGGTATGCTATAGAAAATAACCTCGTGTTCTTGCTGATGTTGCCCCTTGACTGGTGCATAATTGTGAATGCCAAAAGCTGTATGTTTAGGCTCATTGTGTGAAGTTTTTATCAAGAAAAAGTGTTCCGTGACTTTAGAGTACATCCATGCAGAGTCAGTTCTTTGGATTGTTTTGTTGTTAACTTTGCTAGAGAAAGCTATAAAAAAGAAAGCATTGCAAGTGGTCAGTGTAAGCCCTGTGTATTTTTGAGAAAAAGTACTTAGGGGAGCTGCCACCTAATAGTGGTTATGCAGGATGGGAGGCCTACACTGTTACACTCCTAAATCCCCTTTTGTTTTGCAGTGTGTTTTTGCTAATAGATAATTACACTTTTACTAAGAGATAACGTCTACCTATAAAAATGTATTTTGAAAACACTTATTTTACACAGCATTTTTTTTTATGCATTTAAACTAACCTTTTATCAATAAAGCACTATTTAGATTTTAAAAGAGTAGTTCTCATTATTGAGTCTTTACAAGGGAAAGGTGTGAGGTCTTTTGGGGAAGATTCAAAGCCCTGACAACATCTCTGTATAAAATCAGAAAGAATTATTTGTATCAAAAGTATCAGTACTGAAAAACTTTGTATTGGAGATCCCAGACAAAAGAAAGCTATAAAGATTATTTACAGGTGATGAGATCATCTACTTAGCAAATACAAGAGCATGTGGTAAAAATTAGCACTAATGAGGGTTCAATGACAGCTGCTTACTAATGTAAAGGGAAAAGAAAGATCTCATTCACAGTAGCAACAACTACTGAATACCTGGAAATATAAATGAATGACTGAAATATATCTAAGAAGAAATTTCTAATACTCTAAAATTTTTTGAGTTAGGAAAGCTCTACAATTTTATTAAATGTTTAAAAACCTGAACTTAAAGTTTAACCTGGGTGGCTGGATGCCTCCACCCAAAGGCCTCTGGCCCTCTTGCTCTCCACTGGACTGACCATTCCAGGACCATCTGGGCCCCTTTCTTTCCTCCTTGGTTCCGCGTTTCCTGAGCCTACTACTTAGACCCCTGGGTAGTGAATCTTCCACTCACTGTCTGTAGTTGGTTCGCTCGCGGCCCCCTACATGCCTCTCCCTCCTTTTCCCGCGCCTCCTCTCTGGACTGTCTGCCTCATTAGGTCACCAGCATATGTCCTGCAGCCTCCATGGGTCACCACCCACCTCTCTGACCAGGCTCTCTGCTACACAGTCTCCATGCCCCTGCTGGGGGACCAGTCCTGGGCGCAACTCCAGGGTCTGTTCTGTGCAGCGAGGACATTCCACTGGGTTCTGATGGTGTCATCGCTGGGAGCCGGTTAGAGGAAAAGCCCGGGGCGGTGGGGGATGTGGTTGGGGGGCGGGGAGGGAAGAGGTTGCAGCCTCAACTGGCCGTAAGGTGCAGGGTGGCCCCGCAGGGCTGAGCCTGGTCTCGGTGTGCCCGCATGGCTTCCTCTCTGGGCCAACACTCTTCCCGCTTCAGCTTTTGGGAAACGAAGGGTCGGGCTTCGCTCCGGAGGCCGGAGCATCGTAAGAGGAGTCCTCTTAAGGAAGTGCCGAGTCGCTCATGCATTAATTCACCCCCTTGACAGCTGCTCGGGACCACGGATGCCACGGCATGGCTGGGAGGGCACGTTTGCCCGGGTCTTGAAAGACGCGTAGGAATTCAATGAACCCTCGACGGAAAAGGGAACTGTGCGGCTGCGCGTCGTGGTCCTGGAAAGCCCGGGTTATCTGGTGTCATATTTCCATTCCCGGGTGGGGGTCCCGAGGCCAGAGGGGGATCGCGAAGGCTGTGGGGGCGCCGGGCAGGATCGCGGGATTTCCCCGCGGCTCCGCGCCCCAAGTTTTCAGGCCACGGTTGAGGTAGCTCGAGGAGGAGTGCAATGGGTAGGGGGGTCAGAAGGAGGCAAAGAAAGCGCATGCAGGGAGCGCTTCCGCTGGGACTGCGCTGG